GTAGAGTAAGTAGACTGACATGCGTGATATCCGTTCGTTCCGTTGATTTTTACTCCTTTCCATTTTGCTTCTTTACACTACCTTTCTCTTCCTTCTTTTCTATCTTTTAATCAATCAATTTCTTTCTTTGACCCTCTCTTTCTATCTAGTTATCTATCCCTTTCCTGCCTATATCTCTATGTATCGAATCCCCCTCCCCACTATCCCTTAGTTCTCTGCCTCTACGTAGGCTTATTCTTTCCCTTTTCCTCCCTATATCTCTGTGTCCAGTTCTCCCACCTATCCCATGGTTCGGTCTCTTTTTACCTTGATAACTATCCCTTTTTCACCCTATATGTCTCTAATTCCCCCACCTATCCCTTAGTTCCCCTTTTCTATCTACGCCTATCTAGTTATCGTTTCCTTTTTCTCCTTACATCTCTGTGTCCAGTTCTCCCATCTATCCCATAGTTCTCTGTCAACTATCCCTTTTCCTACCTACATCTTTCTAAATCCCCCACCTATCCCATGGTTCTCTGTCTCTCTTTTTATCTATATATCTATCCCTTTTCCTACCTATATCTCCATTTCCGCCACCCGTACCATAGTTCTGTCTCTCTTTATCTATACATCTATCCCTTTTCCTGCCTATATGTCTCCAATGCCCCCACCTATCCCTTGACACACCACAGCGCTTCTCCCTCACCAGCAGGTCAGTCACAATGGGTGCCACACACTGTCCGAGACTTCCTGCCAGCGTGACCATAGCGAACCCCTTCGTCCTCACCATCGTAGGGAACAGTTCAGGGACATACATGAACACCACCTGCGGAAAAAAGGTTGTCATTATATAGAGAAAAGGGGATTCGAAGGGGAAACTATGCAGAACTGATACGTATTGTTGGTATGCGAAGAAACTGGATATAATTTATGTGCACTTTTGGTAAGCGGAAGAAACTTTATAGAACTAACGTGTACATTTGGTAAATGGGGAAATAACTGAAGAAACTATACAGGACTAATGTGTACTTTTGCTAAGCGGGAAAATAACAGAAAGAAACTATACAAAGTAACGTGTATTTGAGCGTTTTTTTTTTTTTTTTTTTATCAAGATGAACATTAGATTTTGGAAAGCCCCTTAGCATCCTGCAGTAAGAAGGGTTGGGTGAGGCTTATCTGCGAAAGAAAAGCACTGACCTGATACCCTCCGCCTGCCAGGAAGAAGGAGATCATAACTAAAGCCCATTTGACATACCAGATTTCTGGAAAAAGAAATACATTAAAAAGCTCTATCTCCGTGTCTGCCTTTGTCTTTCTGTTACTCTGCCTCTCTGTCTCTCTCGCTCTCTCTATCTATCTATCTCTCCATCTCTCACTCTCTCCTTCTCCTCCTCTCCTCTCTCTCTCTCTTCCTTCTCTCTCTCTCTCTCTCTCTCTCTCTCTCTCTCTCTCTCTCTCTCTCTCTCTCTCTCTCTCTCTCTCTCTCTCTCTCTCTCTCTCTCTCTCTCTCTCTCTCTCTCTCTCTCTCTCTCTCTCTCTCTCTCTCTCTCTCTCTCTCTCTCTCTCTCTCTCTCTCTCTCTCTTTCTTCTTCTCTCTCTCCATCTCTCTCTCTACCTGTCTATCTATCCATCTGTCTCAATCTTTCTTTCTCAGTCTCTCACAATCTCACAATTTTTCTCTCAATCTCTTTCTCTCTCAATTTTTCTCTGCCTCTGTCTACCCCCCCCCCCCCCCCTCTCTCTGTTTCTCTCGCTGTCTCTGTCTTTCTCGCTGTCTCTAGCTCTCTCATTGTCTCTCTCTGTATCTCTCTCTCTCTCTCTCTCTGTGTGTGTGTGTGTGTGTGTGTGTGTGTGTGTCTCACTCATTCTCTCTCTCACTCATTTCTCTCTCTTCTCTCTCTCTCTCTCTCTCTCTCTCTCTCTCTCTCTCTCTCTCTCTCTCTCTCTCTTCTCTCTTATGTATATATGTATGCGTGTGTGTGTGTGTGTATGTATATACATACATACATACACACACACACACACACACACACACACATATATATATGTGTGTGTGTGTGTGTGTGTGTGTGTGTGTGTGTGTGTGTGTGTGTGTGTACATACACACAATTTTGTGTTTTATCTATCAATTTATCTCTCTTTCCATCGTCTTCTCACGCCAACCGGACTTTCTCGATCCAAGTCATCCCCTGCGCAGGAAGCCCTTCTCCCGCCCGCCCACGCACCTTCGGGCACGAACATGACGGCGAGGAAGAGCGCCCCGGCGAGGAGCAGCGTCGACCCGATCACGTGGCGGCGGCCGACCAGCTGGTTCACGGGCGTGGCCAGCAGCACCGACACGATCTCAAACACGCTTAACATGCTATGTACTGGAGGGATTCGTGCTAGAAGAAAAGGAATAAGAAAAGGTTGAAGAAAGTGAGTAATTGTACAAATGGGAGACATTTGTCTTTACTTCGACTATATTTTTAAAATGTTCGCTGTAGCGTATACGGAAATATCCATTGTAGATGTCCATAACAGGATGCGGCGATTCGTTAGATATTTACCCAGAACAAAATGTGGTGGACCTAGAGGGACGTGAGGTGAGTGAGTTATTCGACCGGCTATCCGAATGCTACTAAACTACTACTGCAAGGTTTAATGTAACAGACACCTGCACTGGATGAGGACCGATGTGGAATCTGTAAAGTTTTAACCATATGTTTTCTAAAGATTTTTTTAGAGTAGTCTGATGGCGGTGGCCCAAGCTGGAACCCTAGAAATCGCAAATGAAAAAAAAAAAATGTGTGATCAGATCTTCAAATGTTGTCTTTCCCGACTTTGCATATCTGTGAAGAAGAATATATATATTGTATTTATAAAATAAACTAAACAAAATAGCCTATACCTCGTAAAATTGTTAACGTTGAGGATGATTCCATAGTAGAGGAGACACATAAGGAAATACATCAGAGGTGTAATGAAAATGATGATCAGCATAGCAGGTGAGCGCAGGTATTCGCCATAGCTGCTGAAGGACGCGGCGAAGAGCTGCTTCAGCGCTACCTTTTCTTTCTGCGCCGGATAACCCGCAGGTATCCTACGAAACGAGATACAAGAGGAATGTTAAGATGTTTAGATATTATATCTTCAAGTTTTCAAGCAAGTTATTCGAACGAGTTATTTCTGATACTCTTCCTAAAGACTTCATAGGCCGACCTCCTTCATCTTCTCTAGGTAAGACGCGAGGTGGGAGGGGAGCTCGACGCGGTTCTTCCTGGCAGCCTCCGCCAGCTCTGCCGCCGCCTCCCTGCCGCTCCCGCTCTGCACGAGCCAACGGGGCGACTCCTTCACGAACCTGCCGGAGGTCACTTTTCTTGGATTTGCAGAACAAAACCCTCGGGATCGGTCTTGAAACATTTTCACGTGAATGAAAAATATACCTACCATGCATTTATACATATATATAGGCAGACAGGTAGATAGATGTGTACATACATAATACACATGTACATATGTACTTATGTATGTATGCATGAATGTATGTATGTGTGCATGTATGTATATATGTATTATGTGTATGTGTATATATGTGTGTTTGTGTGTGTGTTTACATATATATATATATATATATATATATATATATATATATATATATATATATATATATATATATATATAGTGTGTGTGTGTGTGTGTGTGTGTGTGAACAAATATACATGTATATAGACAGATAGATTAATATATAGTTATAGATAAAGATATACAAATACATATGCTGTCCAGTTATGCCTATTTGAGAACCCACAGAGTGATGGGCGTCATGACCAGGTAGGGCAGGGTCCAGATCAGCTGCAGGTACCGCCAGTGGCTGACGAAGTAGCCGACCAGCGCGAACAGGATGACGCAGGCGGAGTAGGGGAGTCCCATGAACATCCCGAGGACTGTGCGGTGCCGTGGCGGGCAGGTTTCCATGGCTACAGGGGGGGGGGGAGGGGGCAAAAAGGCGTTTACAGAAATTGCTGTTATTGATGTGGCGTTAGGTTTTGGTGCAGTCATGTGGAATTCATGAGGAACAGATTCCAACAGGAACAACGAAGGGAAGGACATATTCGTGTGTTTTCAACGATTAAGTTATTTTGTGGCGATTAAACGGATAAATAGAGTTATTAACTTCGTCTTCTTGCCCCTTGGAAGGTAAACTGATGAACTGGTGATTAACGAACGAACGGGAAAATAACACCATTACTGAATTAGTAAACAAAAGATCAGGCAGTTTATCTACAAAGTTTAAGTCACAACCCAATTCCTTTTTATCCGCACTCTACGAGAAAAAAATAATAATGTAGATTAAGTATGCTAATGAAAATTTGATTAATATGAAGTACCTTGACAAAATAATTTTTACTATTTATTGTGGAACAAACACATAATGCTTGGGAAAGTGTTCAGTATAAAGACATTTATAAAAAGAAAACATCGCATTTAGCCTACTTTTGTTATCAAAGAAAAAAACTAGAGCAGGAAAGTTCCGTAGTTCTGAACAACGCTCTTTAACATTTTTCTTAGAGACAGGAAAAGGTCATCCTTATGCAATGATAATAATGATAATGATAATAATAACAATAATAATAATGACAATAGCAATACTAATAACTACAGCAATAGTATTCAGGATGATGATGACGCAATAATGATAATATCAACAATAATAATAATTAAATAATAATTACAAAAATAATAGTAATAATAATAACAACAATCATAATAATCATATTAACAATAATAATAATCATCATAATCATAAAAATTACAATGATAATAATTATAATGATAATTGCCATAGCAATAATAATAACCATAATAATAACAACAGAACCCGAGAACGAAACCGAAAGCCGAAAGCCTGGCCTCTCCTTACCGAGGTTGATGGTGGACAGCATGACCATCCTCACCGAGATCCCCATGGCGAACCTCAGCGCCAGCACGACGGGGAACCACGGGACAAACGCCACGGCCAGGCACGAAGGCAGACCCAGCAGACACCCGATCTGCATGGCCTTCTTGCGACCCATGCTGGAGGGGGAGAACGAGGCAGGTTGAGGTAGCGTTGTCATCACCACGGCGGTAATGAGAACACGGACAGTAGGATACATGCACATGCAAACGCACAAGAAACAATAGAAACACATGCACAAGTACATGCACGTAAATACGTGTGAAATTCATGTTGAACAGATTGCAATAGGAACAACGAAAGGAAGGGCAAGAAAACACACGAATATGCCGAAGGCCTTTTCACTATTGCTTCGTCAGGGCATATGACGAAGCAATAGTGAAAAGGCCTTCGGCATATTCGTGTGTTTTCTTGCCCTTCCCTTCGTTGTTCCTATTACGTAAATACAAGCACACACACACATACAAGCACACACACATTCTAGCACACACACACACTCGCCTGTCGCAATGGATCCCCCGACGAAGCACCCCGCTATGGCGCCGATCGTTATGACCATCTGGAAGAACGGCCGCAACCGCTCCCTGTCACACACCAAGTCAAACTGGAAGATCAAGCCATCGTTTTTGCCACTCCATTAAGCCAATAATTTTCTCAACCTTTCCTTTACGATTGACCCCTCGGCTGGATATTTCATTATATATATATATATATATATATATATATATATATATATATATATATATATATATATATATATATATATATATATCAGCATTCTCTATTAGTTATATTTCCACTATAAAGCAATTGTTATAGAAATAAATACCGAAATGCAGAAACTAAATATATTTGTTAAATGGCGCCAAAACACCGTTATGTGTTATTGTCGTACGATTTGTTAAATCACGTTAATAAAAAAAAATGGCATGGTCCAGAGGAGAATGTGTTTGGCATGCAATACACATCTATATGTTAATATCACTTTGGTGTGAGATGAAGTGCCAAGGCCGGTTGGCTAGTTATCTTATGATTTATTATTCAATATTAGAGTGTGCACTTCACATTTTGCTGACATGTTGCTGAGAACTATGTGTTGCAACCCAGTAATTTTATATTTGAAGACTGCCAATTTAATGTAGACTGTCTTAGTAAAACTGCAAAGCGAAGCATCTTGGCCAAACGTCGGTCATGACAAATATTGAAAGAATTAACAACGTAAAGTATAATGCAAGTAAAACATATTTTAGTATTATGCTGTGATATTGTAGGTCGACTCTTTCGACATGTAGAAAATTTTGATAAGGAGCAAAAATCATATTATGAAATATTAATAAACAATGTATTTCCTAAATAATCCTTTCTAGAGCAAACTGTAATAAAACACAGCCATACACTGTGGTGAGTAATAGGTAGGCTCATGTAACAGACAACACACACACACACACACACACAGCCCAACACATCCACTATCTTAGTTTAAAACAAATGCGTCAATGAATCACCCGCTACTGCTTCTTTTTTAAAATCAGGCTTATTTTACTTTTATATTCTGGCTTGCCTCAGAATAATAAGAAAATATATCCTTTATAAATATTGAGTAATATTATTAAGATTCTTCTCCAATCTCTCTACAAGTCGTAGACAAACAATATACATAATACATATATATATATATATATACATATATATATATATATATATATATATATATATATATATATATATATATATATATATATATATATATATATATATAGCTATGATAAAAAGCGTTGCCTCTGGCCTTCATCCATCACCAGGCGACCGAACAGCGGTTATTTAAGAAAACAATGTTAACAGAATGTTTTCAAATAAAATAGGAATAATAGAGAGATTATGATAATCCTAACTAGGTGCTATCATCATGTTATGGTTTTATTATTATTGCAATAATGAATTACTATCATTATCATTTTCATCATCGTTATAAAAAATCAAAGCTCATAATATTATTTTCTGTTACCATTATAACCATCACCATTAATGCCACGTTGTAATTTTTTATCACTCTCCATCGCAAAATTATTTCTATCATTTTATCCTCATTATTAATATCACAATATAAATACCATCACTCTTCCATACCCGCATAACCACTCCAACCCCTCACCTCCGAGATGACAGTAAGGGAGTAGACTGAGGAGTCATACTCGATCTCAGGGCAAGCGGGAAGCCCGGTGGCACGGCGGTTGGGCGGCCCGACGGGGTTGAGGGCGGGGTGGGCGAGGTGGGCGAGGTGGGCGGAGTCTGCGAGGTGGGCGTTGTCTTGAGGGTCTAGGCACTCGTTGTTGAACCAGGCGTTGTCCAGGCTGTCCAACTCGCTGACGGAAAAGGTGTATCATTTTGTATATTTGCATTTGTTTGTGTACTGCATGTATATAATACACACACACACACACACACACACACACACACACACACACACACACACACACACACACACGCTTACCTGAAGGACGAATTGGAGGAGTTGGAGCTCCCCGGCGCAAAGCAGCGGAAGGACATGGGGGCATTCAGCAGCGAGGAGGCCATGTAGTGCAGGGGAATGGTGTTGGCTGCGGACACCATATATGGTTTGCGTTAGTGACGACACGAGGGCAAGCGCGTCCAAAGGTGGTCGCAGATCAGTTGCCCGAAAATGCGTTTATTAGAGCTTAACTTAGGCTTTCTTCCATGACATGTGTATCGATATGTTCGTGTTAATGCTTTGCAATCATGGTATTGTAGTGTATGAATGTGAAGTTATCGATGTCTATAATAAAGTCGAAAGTATACATTAGTAAAACATATAATAAACAAATTTTCTGGCGATTGCTCTTAGATCACTTTTGGACGCACTTGCCTTCATGTCACCACTGTTAACATAAGTGTTACTTGCGAACCAAAAGGGAGGTCTAACAGGCGCCAAAACGGACCTACAATGGTAGCCATTAATATGGGTATCTGCCAGCGGCCATACCCAACCGCCGAAAGGATATCGTCGATGCGGTCACGGTCTGCCATGGCCTTCCCTGCGGGGAAAAGAGACTTCAATGTACATTTGCAACATTGTAGCCAACCTAAGAAGAATAAGTCTTACGTGCTTTATTTGTTCATCCATTCACTCATTTTCTAATCTATTCAAAACCAAAAGAATCATTGTAATCAAAGTGTTACTCTAGAGAGAACAATAGATCCTCTGCTGGAAGAGCGATAGATTTAGAGTAACAAACAGCGAGCGAGTTCAAGTAAGGTCCCATACGCCTGGCTGAACGGATACTAGGGAAGAGCATGGAGAGGCAAGGGCAAGGGAGACTGCGGAGGAAATCTGACGACGAGCTTATGTTGAAACAGAGTTTCCACGCTCTGCTCCTCTCAGTATATCAGTCTGAGATGGTGTGGGTAAAATTCGGTACATGACCTTGTTGAATTGAATTGAATTAGACTTGATTCATCTACTTTTTTATTTTGAAGTAAAACTGAATCGAACTGACAAAAATGAACTGACCTTAGCCCAGCTCACTCCTTCTTGATTCACCCTGTCCTCACATCCGCCTAATTTGGAACATTATATTTTTTTCTTTCTTTTATTAGAATTAATTTTAAATCTGAAGTCGGCGGGAAAAAAGCAAATGGAGTCGGCGAAAAAAAGCAAATGAAGAAGTCAGTAAAAAAAAAAAAATAAAATAAAAGGTAAATGAAGTCCGGGGAAATCGGAAAAAAACATCGGACAGTGACAAAATACAATTAAAGCAAAAAAAAAAAAAAATGTATATATATAAAATAAAAGAGGCAGGGAAGATGCAGGTAAACTTATAATACCTATTACCCCAAGCACTGACCTCAAGCACAAGCGTTCGCATTAAAAGGTGACTCGTTTTAGGGAAAGAAAATCAAAGTCATATAAAGATATTCGATAAGGAAATGACGTAAATCAAAATGTAAGTATTAAAACCATAGGCCTACTATCACGTATGTATAAACTGTTGTTAAATCATTCATAATTTAAACCGCATTTGTGTGTGTGTGTGTGTGTGTGTGTTTGCAACTCTGTATATTTGTGTTTCTTCATACTTACGTTTAATTATGTACGTATACATATTTTTTCTATTACATATGTATGAAATATTAACGAAGGATAAATGTAGAATAAAAAAGATATTATAATTGCAGTAGAAGATTTATAAATATATAGAGACACACAATTTAACGAACAGAAAAACGACACAAAAGCAATAATTAGAGACGATCGGATCAAATAAAACGGGAAATTAAACGGCACGAAAAGAGGGAAAACGCCAGAAAATTAAATTAGAAAATTACATATGTCATAGATCTTTAAATGATAATAATAATAATAATAATAATAATAATAATAATAATAAACTGAAATTTCGGTAATAAGACATCCCAATTTCTAACGGCGATAAAACTCGGACAAATGGAATAATCATGTTGATACACTACCAAGGATGTTAGACTTGAGGCTCCTATTGATTATCATACATGATTTTTAAAAAAGTCATGTGATTGTGTGTGTGTGTGTGTGTGTGTGTGTGTGTGTGTGTGTGTGCGTGTGTGTGTGTGTGTGTGTGTGGCGTGTGTGTGTGTGTGAGTGTGCGTGCGTGCGTGTGCTTGTGCGTGTACGTGTGTGTGCCCATTACAGCAAGCACCAGTCCCACGTGCAGGCGAGTGAACACCACGCTCCCCCTCGTGTTGCAACAGAAGAAAAGCCGCTGGTCTCTTCAACCCTCCTTGGCGACAGCCCAGGATGGCACGCTCACATTTTCATCATGTGCATCTGTATCCTATCTACGATGAATGAATGCCAAACAACAAATGTGTTTTTAATCCTTATCTGGGGCCAAGCGCATCCTACTCAGTGTGTGCGTATGTGGAGGAATAAGATACAGACAGGCAGACAAACATTGAAAGGGGAAGAGAGAACAAGGATAAGAATAAAAATACTCTCACCTCCCCTGCGCAGGCGAGTCGCCTCCTTGCACCGGCTCCAAGACGCGACTGAGCGGACCGCTGTCTGATTACCTTCTTATATAACGT